AAAAATTAATTAGTTCAAAATATTATGATTGCCCCTTACAAAATGATGACTAATTCAATAATAATATAACTCACATGGACATTGAGCAAAACCATCTCAACAAAAATAATATCGTGTTTATTATCATATCTAGTCATACTTCACTTGCAAAATACTCATTCCTTAATTTTTCATGTTGATTTGAGTGGAGAAATGTCAGAAATTTTGTTCAAATTGGGAGTCATCTTCTCACGATCAAAGGAGTGCCAAAATTACTTACCAAATTAACTTTCAATCATTAAAACCTTAAGAGACAACGAGAAACATAACCAATTGTTAGTGTTTAAGAAAACAAAATAAATAATATATTTAAATAAAATATATGAAGTATGAATGAACATGCCTATTATAAATTAAGAGAATAAAAATACTATTTAGTATTGGATATTATAATTTCAAAATAAATTGAGTCAATTAATACAAAAAAGCAAATAAAAACAATATGCGATATAAGAAAAGCTGAAAGCTATATGAAAATAGTTGAGCAAACTTCTCAGATTTACTTGAAATCTGTGAAGAAGGTTTACAGTAATTACCCACCAAGTGCAAACATACTATTTCGAACATAAATGTTAGTCCTTTAATAGCAAATCGTGCAAACTAAATTCTTAGCTAGGAATAATTATAGAAATATTTTAAAAATATAATAAATATTATTATTCTTTCTTAAAATATTCTATTTTGATTCATTTTATTTTTAATATCATTTTTTATTATGCATTGTTAGAGTAATTATAGGAAAATGATTCAATTCCTCCGTAAAATTATGTAAATATTACAATATTAAGAATAAGATAAAGTATTTAAATATTATAAAATTGATTATTTTTAATCATTATGAGTGTTATTAGTGTGGGTGTGACCATTATTTTAAAGTAAAATATCAGAATATAGTTAACAAAGAAATTATATGGTATACTATATTAATTAATAAATATTATTATTCTTATTTAAGGTATTCTATTTTGATTTAATTTTATTTCTGATTATGCATTATTAGAATAATTACAAAAAAAATTCTCTCATATTAAGCTTAATTAGGAATCATATAATATAAAATATAATTTAATATTTAGTTCAAATTATTTATTACTTTTTATTTAAATTATTTTATTGTATATCTAATTCAAAAATTTATTATTATTAGAAATTTTTTAAAAAGAATTATATGGTATACTATAATAATTACTAAATATTATTATTCTTGTTTAAAATATTTTTATTTTATTTTATTTTATTTTTGATTATGTACTATTAGAGTAATTATAGAAAAAGATTCAATTCATCCGTAAATAATTATGAAAAGATTGTAATATTACAATATCTCAATTAGTAATAATTTATCTCAAAAAGTAGGACAAATTTATTAGAGATACAATATTTTTTAAGATCCATTATGAAAATTTTAAATATCTTGTTAATTAGTAATTAGAAAAATTAATGTAATTAAACCAATTTACTTATTTATTATAAAAAATTAAAATTAAAAAATATTGTAAAATTTATTATTTTAAAATTTAAAAAAAAAAACTTACTTGTGACACATGTACAAAAGTAGATTAAATTTAGTATATTATATAGATTAGACACATGGTTCTTGTCTTATTACGGTACAGTCAAATATTATTTTTTATTATAATACTATATCGATTATATTATAATAATTAGTGAATATTATTATTCTTATTTTAAGATATTTTATTTTTATTTATTTTATTTTTAATTATGTATTATTAACGTAATTATAGAATAAAAATTCAATTCATTCATAAAATTATGAAAAGATTATAATATTACAATATTAGTTATTAATAATTTATATCAAAAAGTAGATTAAATTTATTAGAGATACAATATTTTTTAAGATTTATTGTAAAAATTTTAAATATCTTATCAATTAGTAATTAGAGAAATTAATACAATTAAACTAATTTATTTATTTATTATTCAAAAAATTAAAATTAAAGAATATTGTATAATATTATTTTTAAAGCTCTTAAAAAAAATTTGTCACATGTGTATAGAGATGGATTAAATTTAGTATATTATATAGATATTTTTACACTTAATAAATTATAATATACTATAAATATAATTTTTATATTAATTTGTACAAAATTCAACAGTTTTTTTATATGACAATATATTAATAAGTGATGATATAAAAAAATATTTAAATTAAATTTATATATATATATATATATGTGCATATAAATTGATAAAATCAATATCATTTTGATTATAATAAATTATATATAATCAAATGACAAAAATTTTTTACATGTTATATAAAAATTAGTGAAAAAATTAAAAAGAAAGGAATTACCTTCAAATATTTAAAAATATTAAAAAGATAACTTATTTAACTAAATTTGAATTATACATAAAAAAGTATTCACATTTTCATGATGTCTCTAAAAAATATTAAAGTATTTATTTAATTTCTAAAACTTTAATATTTTTAATAAAATAGTTACTTATTTAAAATATTAATTTTTTTATAAAACATTTACATATTCTAAAATTAAAGAAAAAGGAAGAAAAAATGAAAATAATTAAGTTTGTCTATTTTTTATTCTTACCTCTACAAATTTGCCTGTGCAGTAAAAAAAAATTATAGTTACGTGATTTTAAATAAAAAATCTGTTTGATAAATTAAAAATGACTGACATTATTTGAAAAATATTGTGAGAAAATTAAATATGAAACCTCTTTAAAAGGTATTCGACAAAAGTATTTCTTTTAAAAATGTTAAAATAATTTAAAAAATGTATTTTTATTTATTAGTCTTTTTTATCATAGAATAATTTATATATCGCAATTATTAATTGTAACGTGAATTAAAAAATTTACATGATATTTTAAAATAAAAGTATAAAAAAAATATATTTTTTGTTATAAAATATAAGATAATTCACATAACGTAGCTAAACTGATGTGCCTACATTTTTATAATACGTGAATTATAGAACTATATATAAGATAATCATAAATTGTATATATTAATAAAAATTTAATTATTTAAATAAAATAAAAACATACGGACAATTTTATTAAAAAAAGCTTCGTTTAAATTATAAAAAAAAAGTATAAAAATATTTATATGCTTTATTTTGAATATATATATATATATATATATATATATGTAATTCATGTACTTAATTTTATAACAATAAAAGAATTTATATATCATTATAATAAATTTTTATATTCTATGTTTTTTAATTTTATTTTAAAGAAAATAGATATACTTCAATTCACACACTTGGATCACTTAAAGGAAGAAAAAAAAGAAGACAAAATATAGTTATCTACAAAATATCCACATGCCTAATTTTAAAAGATACAAATTGCAAGTCATGGTGTGAGAGCAAATATATTCCGATTTTGATACAGAAAAAAGAAAGAGAAACATAATGTATAATATTATTTAGAAATCACATAGGAAGAGATAGACCAAATTATGAAGGAAGAGAGTAAAATAAAAGACAAATCGACTGGTATTCGAATTTAATAGGAGTTTTCAGGGGATGGGTTGGATTAATTTTGACAAATTATTTTTCTTCACTCAATTTTATCTATAGTTGGGGTCCATACTTAAATAAAAAAAACTAAAATTTTATATATGATTGATGACTTAATTTTAATATTTTAAATAATAAATTTATTAAAAATAAATAAGAAATTATTTATTCTAAAAATAATACAATAATAATAAATTTAATATTAATCTAAAATAAGGAGATAAAACAATATAAAATAAAAATAAACTTTAACAACCTCTTATAAATTATAAAATATAAAAATTTAATATTCATTAAATAATGTACAACATCAAAAAATTGAAAGATTAATAGTAAAAAAAATTAAATTACTTATCAATCTTTAATTTTTTGTTTCAAATAAATTAAAAAAAATAAAAATGATATAAAATTAATATTAAAAGGTTCACGTGAGACAGATCATTAGGTCAAATGGTTTAATTGAATTTTAATGAAATAACCTTGTAATTCATCTCATATTTTACTGGGTTTCAATATTTTTATCCGGATTGATCTATTTATTAAATTAACCCACTAACTTTTATTTGGATTAAATTGTTTTGTTGGATTCATGGAAAGAACATAACCTATAAACACTGTGAAATGCACCTCAAATGTATATTAGAGCTTCAATTAATGTTTAAAAATTTTCACTCAACTCAAACCGACCTAACTATAGATGAATTAGATTGTGTTGCATGGTCAGGTTGGTATCAATATAAAAAATAAAATAAAATTCTTGTGTATGATCAATAACTTATTTTTAACATTTCAAATAAAAAATTTATTAAAATCAAATAATAAATAATTGTGACAACCTTTCATAGATACAAAATTTAATATTCATCTCATAACTTAAAGCAATACATAATATTTAATACATAAGGTTTAAAAATTAAAAGTTACAAATGATTTATTAATTTTTAATTATTTATTTCAAACAACAAATTTAAAATATATATATATATATATATATATATATATATATATATATAGAATTAACAAGCGAAAAGTTTATATGACACAAATCATTAGGTCTATTATATTGGTTAATTTTAAAGTTGCAAACCGTATTTTACTGGATTGGTCAGATATAAAAAATAAAAAAAAACCTCTGAACAGTGAAGAAGCACCTCAGACATATATATAAGTTTCAATTAATGTTTAAAATCACGTGTGTAATTATATAATTCATTTGTTGTTTAGTTCAAACAACTACAACGAGAACTTTGGGGATCGAAAATGAGATAAGCAAGAGCTAGCTCCACCCATCAACTACTCCGCTCATCAACTCCATCGTTTCATAATTCTTCGATTCATGTTATATATACCCGTCACCGTAAGTCTTCATCGTCATCATCAAATTAAGTTGTGAGAAGAGCCTTCAACCGTAAAAAAATATTAACTCGATCTGTGGCCATGACTGTACCATTGAAAGCCATAATGTGCATAGCACTTATATTCCATGCAACGACAGGAACCACTTCAACTCGAATCCTGGATGAGGTAGAGACACCAACGACATCGCCAGAAGAACCCGACACAGCGGAATCCCCAATTTCAACCACTGTCCCTCCGCTGGTGGCAGCATCCCCAGCAGCAGAAGTGAAAGGCGTTGACCAACATAAAACGCTGACGTTTTACATGCACGACATGGTGGGTGGGTCGAACCCCTCAGCGAGAGCAGTGACAGGAGTGGTAACAAATCCAGCTCTGAACGCACAAGTTGCGTTTGCGAAGCCAAACGGTGCGAACCTTCCAATAAACAACGGGGTTCCACAGAACAACAACAACGACGGGATTCTGAACAACAATAACCTCCCATTCCTCACCGGGCTGGCGGGTACGAGTGGGAACGTCTTCAACAACAACGGGAATAACTTGCTGAACGGAGGAATGGGTTTCCCGGTGACAAACACGAATCAACTTCCAGAAGGAATGACCCTTGAGAAGTTGATGTTTGGGACAATGACTGTGTTTGATGATGAGTTAACGGAAGGTCATGAATTGGGTTCTTCTTTGCTTGGGAAGGCACAGGGCTTTTATGTAGCCAGCTCTGTTGATGGAACCTCTCAGGTTTTGGCTTTCACCGCCAAGTTTGAAGAGAATGGTTATGTTGATAGTCTTTGTTTCTTTGGTGTTCACAGAACCCAAGTTTCTGAATCCCAACTTGCCATCATTGGGGGCACTGGCAAGTTTGTTAATGCCAATGGCTTTGCTGTTATTAAGGTCTTTCCGGTTACCGGTCAGCAACAGAATGCAGATGGAGTCCAGACTCTCATGCAGCTCACTGCCTATCTTGCATATTAGGGTGTCTTTTATACGATGAACTTTCTGATTCCAACTTACTATTATTGCAAAATATTTGTATTTCGTGTAATGAAATGTCAGCGTATTTTACTTTTGTAACAAAAAGTAAATGTGCCACAAACAAAAATCAAATTTATTGCTTTGAATGCAAATCCTCTTAATACTACTTTTCCTACTTAAACGTAAGTATTAAATAAATAAATATATTTATTAACTTAAAAATATTTAATATTTAAGAAAATTCGTGTACATATAAAGTAAAATAAAATAAAATCCTTTAATGCATCTTAGTAGGTCAACCTCCTCTTCATTTTCATTTAGTTCCTTGACTTGGGAGATTTTGATAATAGAAAAAAACACTCGTAAAAATAAGCGTACGTAAGACCCTAGAATCTTCCTCTCTACATGGACAAAGACCTTAGTCAATTGGCTGGCGTCATGTACGATGAGTTATCTTGATAGGATCAAAATTACATGGAAGTTTAGGTGGATAACCTCTTCGTTGATAGAGATTATGTACGTCATTCACGATAATTGATGGAACAGATCTTAAAGGAATTTGTCTAAGGTCTAGTGTATCTTAATAGTGTTTTATTCGGACGGTTGAATATTGGCTACGTGCAGGGATGCAGGGACAGATAAGGTAGTCTCGGGATCTCGACATAGAATCTAACAATGATTTTTCTTTTAGTTTGACAACGGTTAATTACATTCATTTTGAATCAAATTTGGCTAGAATTTGCAAAGAACTAATGTAATTTCTAAATATCAGAGACGAAGATAAATGACATTAATTAAATTTTTTATATACTATGTAATAGAAACGCCTGGTCATGGTTATATTTTAACTTGTACAATTGAACAACATTTCATAAAAAAGGTTTTAATTAAGACCAATCTAAACCCCTTTATTGAAACCTCTGTTAATGAAACAAAAAAAATCTCAAACAAACGGCCAACGCGTGTAGTAACTGAATTAAATTGAAAGCAATATATATTTATAAAATCCATTCAGATACAAAGTTAGTATTACTTCCTTTTCTACAAAAAAATAATACGCTCTTCTATGCTGCAATATCTAGGAATAAAAGATGCTCTCTAGCTTATGTAGACAGTAATCTGAAGAAGTGTTTCCACCCCATTTGTTATGTGCTGTTCAGGTAAATTGAGCGTCTCAATTTTCGCATACCCTTTTGCACTGTCATATTTTCCAGTTCCTCCAACTACAACAATATAAGACTCTTGTATACCCGTTCTATGTACCCCAAAGAAACTAATAGAATCCTCTTCATCATGACCTTCACTATGAAACAAAGTTGTAAATGCCATGGTTCGGCTGCTTCCATCCAATGAGCTAGCCAAATGAAATCCCTGTGCTTTACCAATAACCACTGACCCCTGATCTTTTGTAATTTCATCATCAATCACTGTTATTCTTCCGAACAAAAACTTCTCTAGTGTTGCTCCTAGTGGGAGTTGATTTGGCGTAACATATGGAAGTGAGTTCCTATCAATAATGACCTTGTTTTTGTCAATGTTTTTTATCACCATGGTGCTTGTGGGTTCAGGATTAGTACCAATGCTATTGCTGGCATCAACTAATGGTTTGCCACCTTTAAAGGGGAAGACCCTATTATAGGGTTTTGAGAAAGGAAGGTTAGTGGTTTGAGTGTTTACAATGGTGCCAGCCACAATTCTTTCTGAAGGGGTTGATCCACCTAGGATATCATGCATAAAGAAGGTGAAGGGATGTGTGTTGGATGCATTACTCTTAGGGGCTTGAGCATTCCCCTTGGTGAAGACCTTATCTGTTTGGGTGATGCCAAAGAGGGAGAGGTGGAGCACTATGGCTTTTAGGGAAAATGTGGTGAGGGTGAAATCTTTGGCCATTTTTCTCTTTTATTGTACGCTAGCTGGGATTCATATATTGGAGTTGATAAATGAAAGGGGATAATGATCTCCTTGGCTGGTTTGTAGATGGATGAACTAGAAAGATTTGTATATGTAGCTTTATAGAGGAGATTGAGATTGTACAAAAGTGGGGCAGCTACAAAGATTGGATTGAGATTAATTGGACTATTGGAGTTGTTGGTTACCCAATCAGCTCTCGGAGGTGGAGTGGCTAACCCTGCAGCTGTATCCTATCTTTGCCCCTTAACTTTACCTGTGTACCTAGTGATGACAAATTTTAAAGCCTCAAAGTCGTGAGTATATATATTACATAAATATTTAAAGAAAAAAACCTTGGGAATAAAATTTTGAACACTCATATATTAACTTTGGGACTTCATCCCAAATATTTTTCCTTTAAAAATAGTATTCGGTTCATGTGGATGTAGAACAAGGTTAAAGGTTTCGAAGGGTTGAGATAAACGAGTGAGAGTCAAAGAGTGCAATAAGGCCGAACACACAATAGACTATTTTTATATGGGCCATTGGGCCGGAAGTCAACATTTCAAAAAACCTAGTCCTAGAGCTTATTGAGAAAGCATTTTCGTTGAAAAAGAAAAAGCAAGAAGTTTTTTTCAGGAAGAGTCACTTTGTCATGAAAATAAAAAGGTTACTAGAAAAATAAAGTAATTATTAGAGAAGAGTTCAGTTCACCAAACACTAAAAAGAAAAATTGAAAGGAGCTCAAGGCTATATAGGTTAATATATTTTAAAAATAAAGTAATTTCTTGGTGTTTTGAGTGTATATTAACTAACATTATTTCATAAATATACCTAGAATGAAAGAAGAGTTCGACTGACTAAAAAATAATGATATATTTTAGGTTAATATATTCTTTTTAAAAAAAAATTAAAATTTTTGAGAGCTTCTTTCTTAATAATTAGTTTCTTATAAACAATCACGCCATAATTTAAAATAAAAAATAATACAATAAAGAGTAATCAAATGTAAAACCTCGTCATAGTCTAATAAGGGACAGAGATTTTAAAACACTAATCACAGAACAAATCTGGTGATTTGATCTGTCACCTTTATATTTGTTTCATCTCTTATATATACATATGTATGTATGCAGCTTTATTACTCAATAGAAATTTGGTACTTTCAAAAAAAGTAAAATGGGATCATCCCAAATAGGTTGAACAATAGTTTGCTAAATATCTAACTGGGTAAGTTCATAACTCAAGGTGATTTGTAAGGCTTTTTCTCAAGTACCAATTGCCGTCAATTTCAGGCTCTAAAGAATGTTCAAAGCTGATCTAACCCCATGAATTTTAATTCATAAATAATGACTCCATGTCTCGTAAAGGAGGAGAACCCAACAAAAAAACTTTATATCACATGTAGATATGAAATTGATTAACGTTTTTAGTCTTACCTTTTCTTCAATCTGTCCTTTTCAACTTTCGTTCTTTCTCATTTGATTGCATATAAAACACAAATAAAACCGTTTCATTGGGATCGTGCTGGTTGGCCTTTTTGTATTTTCTGCTTGGCGGAAAGGATTTTCCATCAAAACTCCGCTTTTCTTGGCCTTCTTTTTTCCCTCCCTAAACCAACACTTATTTCAATCTAAAATGAAAATATTGTTGCAGGGACATGATGCTAACTTTTGACTTATCACATATCAAGGATGAAGCTGAATAAATAACTTAATTAAATATTTATTTAATATTTTTATTACACAATAATTTATATTATAAATTCAATTATAAAGTATATTGAAATAAAATTTAAAAATTGTTATGTTATATATCATAAATATGCTCAAGATGTTAGACAGATGTCATTGTTATGTGAATTTTTCCTTACCTATTTTGCTTTATATATATATATATATACATTAAGACTTTACTGTGCCTTGAAGGTCCATTTGCTTTTACATTTATAACCGTGAAAGTAAACCATGCAGAGCATGCGCTGTTTGCCTAGTTTTAATAAATTAGAATAAAAAAAATATTAAAATGTTATAAGTGCAACATAAAGATAAAAAAGTATTGATAGTAATTTAAAAACTTACCTAATTCAACGTTATTTTAATGTATATTAAGAGTATTAAATGCTATAATTATTATGAAAATTTATTTTAAATAATTTTTTATTTAGTGTAACTTTTTATTATTTACAATGCTGCACAGGTTAAAAAAATTTAATTAAGTTATTTTTTTATAAGTTCAAATAAAATTTTCATAAATTCTTTTAAATGTTTCTTAATTATATTAAGAATTTAAAATTAAGAGTCTCTCCAATTTCATAAAAGAAAATTATTGTTCATACAAAGTTCTGGACTGAAAATTTTGTTACAATGCCAATAATTTGCATATAATTGTTTTCTTTTCAACTTGCGGTAAATTATATTTTTTTTCAGCTGTTCTGATTAAGTCAAACAAATTAAAGGAAAGAAAGGAAAGTAAAATCATGAAGATAGTGAATAGAATTCTCCTGGCTTCTAAATGGTACCTTTTGATTAGAGAAAGTTGAATTCCAAATTAAAGCGAAGGGAAGATTAAACACATGGTGTGAAGCAGCCCCACCACCGATCAGTATGAATTGGACTATGCAACCATAAAGTGAACTCAGCTCTCATCATTTTGTTACTTGTAGGGAATGTAAAATGTACAATATTGACAGGGGAGAAAAAGAAGCAAATTGAACCCTTCAACATGGGGACCTTGCATGTCACATAACAAACATAACAGTTGTAGCTCTTTGAGAGTCATAGTGAAAATGAGATAACAAAGAAATAAGACACTCATCACTCTTTTGTGAGTATAAATAATGTGTTTTTGCTAACTTCATATGTTAAATAAATACTAATCATTATTAAAATAATTTATAAAAATATCTTATATAATTAATTAAAAATATAATCAAAATTTTATTACAGAATGTGACAATCTTCTTTTTATGTGTTAACTTTTAAGAAAGACTATACCTATTTTTCATAACTTATTTATTTTAAACGTTAAGTTGCTTGATAAATGTTAAGTGCTAAAAATTTTATGCTTAAATAATTATCTTGACATAATTTTTAAATAAAAAATAAAATTATTATTAAAAATATTTTTAATACACTTTTATCTTAAATTTTAACTATCTTTAAACATAATTTTTAACAAAAAAAATTCCTTTAAGAAATATTTGTTAACAAGTATCAATATTTATTATAATAAATATTTCTAATAAAAAATTTCAATTAAAATCAACTAGATGATAGTGGCAGCTATTTGGGTGGGGAGGATAGTGGGCTTTTGAATTGTGCTTGTGATGAGTGTAGAAAAAATTGGTGACTGAACTATATGACCCACCAATGTTTGATGATTATGGCTGAAAAAGAAAAAATTAGAAGGAAAAGTTTGCTGAAGAGAATGTGTCCCAAACAAACCAGCCTGGCTTTGGAGTGCTGCCTGCTACCATTGTCTGGCATGCATTACCAAGTGACTTGTCTCCCTGAGAATGCGCAGCTATTCATCATATTCAACCCAATGTGGGGAATGCAATGCATATACTCAGGTGTACAATGTTCTCATGCTTAGAGAAGCCATGGAGATCCATGATTGCTTTTCAAGTGTTTCTCTTGTTGTGGTGTGAATATGGGCTTATTCAGGTTCAATTTGGTTGGTACTGCCACTTATTTTGAATTTTCCTTACTTTCTACGAAACAAATGCTTAATTTGATGTCATTTATAATTTAACAATTCCCACGAACACGAACAAATTAATGTGGGTCTCAGGTACATTAGTATATTTTGAAGTTAATTACAGAGGTTAGCCCCCTTCTCTCTCTTGAAAGCTGATCCCAAGCATGTGAGTGTTTCAGATTATGCTGGTGTGAGCAAGAGAAAACAATTGAAAGTGGAACAGTTGCCAATCACTGCCTTAGAAGTGTTTTAGCGTGATAGATATAATACTACCCTAAAACAATTGTTAGTTCTACTACTTCAGTGAGCATAATCAGTAAACAAACACCAACCCAAAGGAAATTACACCCTTCCAACTAAAAATGATTGTAAATTTACACGACATAAATAAAGCATGAGTGCTCCACAAGTCATCAAATTTCTAATCATACAAAACACGCACAGCCCCTAAGGTGTATTAAACAACAGAATGAAAACTAAAGTAAATTAAAGACAAAAAGGAAGAAGGGTGAAATTGAAAAAATATTATGTTAATTATAGCTTATTATGTCGACCATGGAAATGTTGGCCTAGAAGATGATGATAATACTAATGAAGATGATGCTGTTGTAGATGACCATAGCTGTGCATTCTTCACCTTGGATACACTAGCCAGTACCCCTAGTGGTGTCACATCTCCGATGATGGTCACTTTCTTTGTCTCCATGTCTATGCTGAACGAAGTTACTCCTACGTGGGATTAGCCAAATATATATATATTAACTACTTTCAACATAAATTCTTATGCACTTACATAAGGTGAAACAGTGACACTACAAAACCTACAAGTCACGGATGACTTCGTTGATGCAAATGATTACATAACACAAACCAAAGAGGAAGCCTTAAGAGTGTGGAAATTATTATTACTACTACTGTTTGTCTAATTATATCCAAGGTCTAATTTTGAGACCCCAAAACTATGTATTAATTATTTAGTTAATTAACCAGACTCACCTTCCATTTTTGAAATATGTTTCCTAACTTTTCCTTCGCAGGCCTTGCAGTGCAATGACACCCTCAACACCACAACCTGAAGGTTTGAGAAGATAAATTATCATCACCATCATAATATCAAATTAAAACAAAATGAATATAAATTGTGCAACAAGTAACAACGCAAATTTTCATTAAAAAAATAGTAACTCTCCTCTTCATAAATTTTCAAAAACATGAAAACAAACAAAACTTAAAAAGAAAAGAAAGACCTGGTCCTTGGAGTGAGCTGAAGAAGAGGACTTAAGAGTAGGAGAATCGTTTTTGGTCATAACTTTGGAGTTGCCTTTGGCGTCATGCAGAGAAGGAGCCATTGTTGGGATTTTATTAGACTCAGATACCCAATCAATGAATGGAGCATCACCAAGGAGATATCTTCTTGATGAACCATCACTACTAGGATGAATAAACAAGTCATTGATATCAACAGAACTTTTTCTACGCATGTCACTGTTTTGCTTATCTGCTGAACTCTTTCTATGCTTCTCGAAGTAAGGCTTAGGATTGATGGGCAAATGAGATGAACAAGGAACATGAAGTTGGGTTTTCCTTCGATCATGGTCGTAGCTTTTGGTGCTTCTACAACGATGGTGCATACTAGAAGTTATTGCTGTGGAAGCAGGGGAAGAACAGAACAAATCAATTCCTTTCATGTTTGTGTCGAGTGGATATGATGGTTGATTTCTCTACTTGGTGACTAGTTATAGAGTAAGGTAGAACAAGTTGGAAAAATGGCTTTTCAAGTAGTAGCTAGTAGCTGAAGCTAAAGCTAAGGCAAAGAGAGTAACTAAAAGATTTTCTTAGTGAGGGAGGGGGAAATAGAGATAATGTATTAGGTCCCACTAGAAAGTGTTGGGTAATTATACCTCGGAAGATATGAGATTAATCTGGATTTTCAAAAAGTTGTGTTTAATCTTTAAGAAGAAAAAACTAAAATGCTAAGAATATATTTTTAACCTACTCTTTTAAATACTAAAATTTATTATAAAATATATAAATTACATTCTCAATTTTACATATTTCACTTATAATTTTTTATTTTTAACAAATTTTAATAAATAAAAAATGTGTATCAAAAAAATGTTTCATAAAGTATGTTATTAATTATTTTCCTTTTTTCTTTCAATTGTTGGGAATAAGAAAGTGTGCTAGTCTTTGCCGTAATATGATTACTACCACTAGTTGTGGAATTAACAAAAGTTTAGGGGTGACAACCACCTTCTATTATTGACGCATCATTGTTTCACGGTGGGCTCGGTTCTACAATTTGTGGGCTCCTTATTTCCTTTTCTTTATATTAGTACTTTTTTATGTTTTGGATGCAGTGGGTGCGCAGTGGATGTAGATCGTTAGAAACCAGTCACATTGGTTGGTGCATTTTCGGCCAACTTAATTGCTATTATTTTCTTATTTGTTGTCATTTAGCTCCTAATTTTTTCAAATAGTTACGCACTTCTGTTGACCTTTCAGACTATTAAGTTGCGATTATCAAAATTGTATAAAATTATAAGGTAAATACCATTGACCTAGGGTGCATTTAGGAATACTAAGTGTTTATTGAATAAGTTCTTTTTATACAATGGATTATCTTATAAAGTACGTATTCTTTATCAAAATAAGCTAAAAAAATCCTTTTCAAACTGTATGTTATTACCATAAGCTCTTACAAATGCTTTCTTAGTCAAAATTATAGTCACGATTACTAATGTTGGGACCTCAATTGCGATTACAAATCACAGTTTGAAACTCTGAATATGCTCAGTTTGATAGATATTTTATCATGAAATTATTTTGGAGATTCAAGATTTCAGCGACAAAATTCGAAACACTCCCTTTAAGATTCGTTTTGTAAGTTGATAAAAGAACACTTGACGACATGTCGTTTTAGAGGAAATGATCAGACAGTAAGAGTAGTTTGTGACTATAACGTTGTACAACAACCTAGCCTGATTTCTGGTAGCTCCCTATTTTAATTTATTTTTTAACTTACTATTTTACAGATAAAACACATACATTAATTCGTGAGTAATTCGTCCCGTAGCATATAGCAATGTTGTGTTTTAGGCATCACATTATATTTCATGATAGTATTATTACACCAATCCACACACGTAACTGTTGTGTTGCGTTTGGTCTTCAAAAGAGAAATTGAAGTTCTCTTCCTTGACTGCAACATCGCACCGTAATAGTGCCCTTTATTATTATTATATATACACGTTAGGTTTTGAAGTTGCCATCATATTGTAAATAAAAATAATTATCCGTTTGAATCATGAGAGTTAAAGAATCTTGTGCCAGAATTTGGGGATTGCTTGATGATAGAGGACAAATAATAGGTCAAAGGTCGGCTATGCTTTGTGCACTACGCAAGTTAAAAAAATTGAAGAAAAAACAAAAAGAAAAATAAAGTTAAGGAAAATTATGAATTCAACGCAGGAGGATTTTAGTAAACTTAAAATGATTATAATTATAGAAGAAGTAATCATCATTAATTTATCAATGTACAATGCATGCCCATTTCCTAAAAGAGTTGCTACTGTTCTGTTACCCTTAAATATTACAATTGATTCAAATTTAACTTGCGACATACAGCACCCTCAAAAAACATATATATGACAGAAGGCCAACAACTAAATCACAAAAGGGTCTTGAAAATGAAAATTAGAAGGCCAACAATTAAATCCAAAGCAATAAACATCTTTAATTATTCATAAACTCAAATGCTTTGCAGATGCATCAAACCTTGCCTGTTGTGTTTCTCTATACTATACCAAATAAATGAACACATGGGTTCCTTCTGTGTGATCTATATTTTACTCTTATCAGGCTTGTACATACTGTCAAACCTGTGATTCTTTCAAACAAAAACACAATATTACACAAAAGTTCTGTGGGTAACGTACAAGTGCACATGGATTAATTCATACTAGTTCTAGTGGGTATGCAAAACCAAATGCACCGTGTCACACTGTCGCTCGCTGTGAAGTCTTTCTACACCAGCATGGATTGCTTTTAGACCTTTATCAGATCCTTCATTAAATTACATATAGCTTTTGCTGTGGGTACCCTTCAGTGATTCAGAGTAAAGTTTTAAAATTTTTATATATTGTTGACAAAAAGAAGACTAAGTTATACATATAATCACGCGTTTAAAGGTGTGTGTGTCATCAGTTGAAGGATTAAGAATTTGAGACCTTTTCAAACACTATCCTTAAATTTCTCTCCCTTCTTTCCTTCCTTTTTTCGCATCTTTCTTAATCGTTTCGTTTGTTTAAGCCTTGGCATAATATAAATTTATGTGGCTCATGAACCACGCAAATATCCAATGCTTCTTCATATGTTTGTGTTATAAATCCACTGATGGAGGACGATTAGCCGGAAAGTGCAGAGAAGAAATTGATTTTTGCCAACTTCCTGTTCAGAATTTAGATCTAAGTAGGTATGGATTGGTTCTGCTCACTGGTCAAACATCAATGCATAGAACTATAGAGTACGGTGGCAATTATATGATTTGAATAAATTTTGAGTTACATTTTAATTTATAAGTAAAAATGAATCATTAATCTACTTGTGATCTATCAAAAATATATTATAAAATTCCAATCTATTTAACAAAAACCATTTAATGAATTCATTAATTATCTTTTTTACGAATGAATATTTAATCCATCCACTTAAAAGTATATTATATTCATTTAAACTTTTTTAAGAGAAGAATTATTGAAAAAAATTACCCATAACAAACAAAACAATAGCAAATAAATTTCAAATTTTTTTTGGTAGCCAATTTCATTTTCAACATAAGTGAAATAGCATTCAAAGTTTAGCACTTGTAGATATTGAGAAGTTGGCTTAATTCAAGCCCAATTGGGGTCCACGATTTAAAAAAAAAAAAGAGAACTAGGTTGGGGTTTATTGACCGAAAAAGGAGAACTTGGTTGGGGTTTAGGGAAGGAAACAGAGCAATTAGGGTTTCATTTCACTCTCAGGGACACAGGAGCTTCAGAATGGGTAGGAAGAAACGAATGCAATTGCACAATGTGCTTCTAAAATATGTTTTCTTTTCCCCTCAATTTGATTTCAATATTCCTTGTTTTCAAATTTTGTCGAATCTAAATCCTTTAAATTTTGAACGTAAAAGCAAGAATCAAAGTGTATGAGCTGAGGAACAAGACGAAAGCAGAGCTTCTGAACCAATTAAAGGATCTGAAAGCAGAACTTGCTCTTCTCCGTGTTGCTAAGGTCACCGGCGGTGCCCCAAACAAGCTCTCGAAGATGTGCACTCTCTCACTCTCTCGTAAATTGTGATTTAGCATTGCAATGTTATGCAAACCTAATTGCATTTGTTTTATTGTGTGGACCATGCAGAAAAGTGGTTCGGCTTTCGATAGCGCAGGTGCTGACCGTGATTTCTCAGAAGCAAAAAGCAGCGCTGAGAGAAGCTTACAAGAAGAAGAAGTACCTACCGTTGGATCTGCGTCCCAAGAAGACCAGAGCTATCAGAAGACGCCTCACAAAGCACCAGGTTCCTTTTATTCTTTCTTCTTAGCTTCTATTTTCTAATAGAAGTTTCTGTTCTATTTTTTCAAGACTAGTCTTATTGCTTAGTTTATGTTTGTGTAAACGTTAGGGTTAGTTGTCTTATAGAGGTGTTGTTAGTGTTGACTGTAGAAAGATAATCTTCTGAGTATGGTGAATAATGGAGATGATTGGCTCTGAATTTAGTTGAAATGCAGAATTAGGGTGTGTAATGGATTAAGATTTTAAAGAATTTTTTTAGTTTGAAAGATTTCAGGATTTTTATAACTTTTAAGGCTTTTAGCATGACTTTAAAATCAGAATTTTAATAAATTTTGTAAAACTTCTAAGTCAGGATTTTAATTGATTCTCAAGGACTTTGTGAATTTGGTAAATTTTTGACATAAAGAGTTTAAATTTTTTTTCATACATTTAAATTTGAAAAGAGTCAGAGACAAAAATAATGAAAAATAACAATGTTTGGTTAAATAATGATAATAATAATTTTTTATAGTATCGTATCTTCCTAAATAGCATTCACCCACCTATCCATAGTTATATTAGTTCTCCAAGTATTAACGTGTTCTCGTTCTTGCTCCTAGGTTTGAATAATAGACTCAAAATTATGATTTTTATTAGCCGGTAATATTGAAGATGAATATTCGTTCATCGGTTTAATTAGAAATTCATTAGAACAACATTATTTGTGAAGAAAGTTATATAGTATTGCATATGCTAACACAAGTTCTACTTCTATTTTAAATAAATATGAAGGTGCTGATTTAAAAATTGTAAGCCTTAATTTAAAAATATCAAATATTCTTTCGATCATATTCTTTAAAGACGCATGACGAAGATTGAATAATTATTTCTTATTTAGGGTTATTACCCTGATCTGCAAAATCTTGTAAATGATATTTTACACTTCGAAATGGAGCTAAAACTTGGCGTCGGTTAGAAAATTCACAATCTACCAATAAATATTTACCTAATTACATATGCAAATTATTATTATTATTATTATTTAAAAAATAAAGCACTTACCTTGAGCTACTTTTAAGTCCATTCATCATTTAGTAGCTTAGAATCATGAGCCGAACTTTTTCACCCACTAAAAATGTACATGAACTCCAAATCAAAATTACAAACGATTAATACATTTTGTAATATTTTTCTATGACGATTATGATAACTGCTTACATCGCCCCTTCACCATTGCTGAAATATGTGTCCCGTCAATAGCTCCAATGCAATCCTAAAAGTTAGCATATATAACACTTCATTCTATAAAAAATATAAATATGATAGTGTCAAATTTAATTATAATTTTTATTATAAGATAATTAGTGCGTACTTTGAAGAAAGGGAAGAACTTTGTATTTTCTCTAATTTTAGCCATCAAAGTAGATGTTATTGTATTCAAAGCCTTCAAAATCTTGTGAAAATTTTCACTTGTAGCAAATTGTGATCGGCTATATGTGTACTTATATAATTAAGAATACTTATTAAATTTATGTCTCACCTAATAGATACTTATATAATTAAAAACAATATTATAATCTCGTAAAAGGTTTAACTATTATATATATATATATAACAGTTAAGCCTTTTACGAGATTATAATATTGTTTTTAATTATATAAGTATCTATTAGGTATATATATATATATACACATTATTATTTATATATTTTAGATATTTAAACATCCATTTATTCAATTAATAAAATGCTATATGGTGTAGAAAAATATCTCAAACTCAACAGTTAAAAGTGTTAGTTAACTATTTGAAGATCTACAGTTAATTGTAGAGATCATAATATCAATTTTATCTTTTAATTTTCTCTTTTTTTGATACATGTTGTAAAAAAAATTATTAATTAAAAGTTAAAATTTCAAGCATTTTTTGTGTTATGTATCTGAGGAATAACTCAACTAAATAGAGCAAGTCAATAGTACTGTCATTTACATTTTTACCAAATAAGGGAATGGAATGGGAATAATAGTACATTATTATATATGAACAGTAGTGTAGTGCTATTAGCAGAGAAAAAAGGAGCATAGAAAAAAAAAATTTACTTGAAAATTCTTTAAGCATTTGAAAAATTACTTCAAACAATCCTCCAAAATCTGATGGGTTTGGATGGAATTGTTTTATGAATTTAGTATTTATAAATATTACTAAAAAGTCCTTCAAAATTTTTCTAATACAATCCTTTAAAATCCTTATATTTTTTAATGAATTATTTTTAAGTTGTAAAAAGTCTCAAATGAATATCAATGAATTTTAATGGACTCTTTAAAAAAATACCACTAAATTATTTTTAAAGTGACATAAAATTTTGATTAAATATTAATAGATTTTTTTACTTAAAATAAGTCTTTTAAAATCTAATGAAATCCTAAACCAATACATCTTTTTTAGATTTTGATTTTGAACTCTTCTGAATGGTAGTGTGTTGGATGGAAGTTATACCATCAGCGTACACTTGCATCTCATGTTATAAGCTGGAGATATGGCTGATTTAGGGTTTAGGGTGCATTTAGATAACTGTTTATTTAAACATTTATTTGGTAAACTATTTTTAAAATGATGAATTATGTCATAAGTTTAACTATTAAACTTATTTGAATAGGCTGAAAATAACTTATTTTAATAAGCTATATTAAGAAGCTTATTAAAATAAGTTGAAAACAACTTATCACTCAATAACCTGTTCATAAATTCTTTCAAATAGGTCTTTATTAGGTTATTTAGCCAAAACTTACAGCAACATAAAGATTAGGCTTGTGTTTTGTCTAACTGGATCACCATATGTAAGTACAAAATGTTAAATGGCAACTTGTAATTTACATTGTTTTTTCCTATTTTAGATGTCATCTACTTTCACAAATAATATTGTTGTTTCTTTTATTTTTTGGAAGTATATTTTGTTGTAAATATCTTAAATACGGGCGCATTGATTGGAGTAGGGAACACAGTTTGGTTGAAGGGTCTCAATGCAATGGCATGATTATCACTTAGCCTTATTCGAGCAAGAGACAATTCAATTTCTCTTATAGCTTGTAAAATTACTTGCAGAAGTTTCAAACTTGCACTGATTTTAGATTGTCTATCTTGTTGGGGTGATATATTGAACTGTAGTTTACCATCTAGGCTCTCCTCGTATATGACAATATCTGTTTTAATTTTGGGGGATCTGTTTGTTGAAGTTTGCTGTCATTATCCATCCCTTCATTTAATGGCTGAATAAATTTTGCTTTGTATTTCTTGCAGGAATCTTTGAAGACGGAGCGTGAGGAGAAGAAGGAAATGTATTTCCCAATTAGAAAATGTGCGGTAAAGGTGTAACGTTGGATCCGAGTTTGGATGATATTTTTGGCGTCACTTTCTATTTGTTATTTGACATAATATTTAAAAAAAATTTAGTCTTCTCAGGTTCTATTTTTGTCTCCTTTCACTTAACTTACTTTTCATGAAACAGAATTACGACCTTGTTTTCTGTTTTTTTTTTTAGCTTTGAAAGAGATGTTTTATATACATGGTGTGCACCATTTGTTTGTGAACTGCACATATTGAGACAAGAATTTAGATTGACAAATATTAAGTGCAACTCGAATCGAGTGTCTAATTAAATGTATAATTTTGGCGTCCTGCTACAGAAATAATGATACATCAAGTGTATTAAAAAAAAAATTCTCGAGAAAACTGTTTATTGGGTATCTTATGTCCTTGTTAAAAAACCATTTGAACATCGATATGGTAATTGGTTAATGGTGAAATTCTTAAATTTTACGTTAGTGTTTAACGTTGATTAGCTTTAACTTACGCATGGTCTAAAAAAATTTAGCTCTATTTATTGTTGACTCAACTCAGCCCAACACAAAATTCAACTAACTTGAAGCCAGTTGGCTTGCTATGGGTTGGGCCGTCAAAGAGTTAAACAGGTTTTGGTTTAGATATCGATTTGTTGAATTTGGACATGTTGTCCATTAATGGGAAATTGGATAAAACTGTAGGGGGATCAAACCTCTCGCTTTACCCTCAAAACGTGTTCAAAATAACCGCAACACAAGGCTCTCATGGGTTCATCATATACGCACGTGTTCAAAATTCAATGAACTTTTTTATTTTTCTGAGAGCATATTGAGTAATCCTTTAAAATTATAGTTGAAAATTATCTCTTTTTCTTTTGGTTTAAGAAGAGGTATGCTAATGGTTCATGTCATTTTGGTGGTTTATGTTTTAAATACTATTAGGATAGCTTAAGATGAGATTATGGGAAGATAGGACGATAAGTTATTCCAATCGACAGATAGTTTGATTAAAAAAAATGGTCAGAAAAGATAATTTTATTCTAAGGCCAAAAAATTATTGTCCAAAGGTTGTCAAGGGGTAATAATATATAAATCCAGTTATTTATTTTTCAAGCAGTTCATATAAATGGTGTGAGAAGTTGTTTTCCTGAATAAGCCAACATAGACCCCACACACATTGCACTTTTGTTGTGAAGGCTGAAAAATATTTAAGGATAATAATAATAATAGCAACATCGAAAATTTCAAACGAGGTCCACATATATTCAGCACACACGAATCTTCATTCTGCGAAAGCAAATGGATATTTCTTGATGCTGAAAATTCTTTGGCGATGCATTGCAGATATAACTTGAAGTTTTTGTTCACTTAATACCTCAAGAAGATTCTCAACGTATTGTTCTCTCATGCCTCTGTCATTATCATTGTATTTATAGTTAACATGTTTTATTCCCCCGATTCTGAATCTTCCACGCCATTTTCTTGATTGCTTAGTTTTCCACCTACTTAATACATTCCCTTTCGAGTCAAAGAATTGCCAAACTGAATCTAAACGAGTTAAGTTCCACATTTTCATCGTTGATTTTTGATTAGTCTCCTGTATGAGTTGGTATAATAGAAATTGTACAAATTTCACTTTGAATTTTCTGCATTGATTTTCTTGGGTCCCTTTTATGCATTTATTTGATTAGTCCTTTTAAAATTGAGTAGAGTTTATTATGAATCACGAATTAAGATATACCGCAAATTAATCTAAAATACAGAATAATTTTGAGTTTAAAGCAAGAAAAATGTTAAAACTCGATTAGTAACAGAAAAAGAGGATAAGATATGACGTGTGTTAATCTATTTATTCAAACGTGTCCTTAATTAATTTAAAACGTACCACTTACATAATTTTTTATGCTTTTTTAAAACCAGATTAAAATAATAAATATGTGAATAGATTTATTAATATTAAAATGAAAAAATATAAATATAATAAATTTTATTTATATACACCGATAAGGTAAAAATCTTTTAAATTATCACTCAATCATAAATTATGATTATAATAATTAATATAAAAGATATATTCATGATATGTTTTTATTGATTATCTGAACAAGAAAATTAAATTCAAATAGAATAGTACAATCTTACTTTATACAATTTTGAAATATAATTTCTCAACAATATATATATTACAAAATTGGTAAATTTAATATTAAAATAATATCGTATTTGGTAGTTACGATTTTTCTCTCTTCCTATAACAAGCCACGGTATTATCAACCGCGGTTTATATACATTAGCAAGTTATTATTCTAATATTTTCTACTGGGACTTACATTAATATACAATTACAATTCCTCGTAATTTCGCTAAAATTGACGCTAACTTGAAATTGGTTGAAATAAAAATATAATTGAAAATTATATAAATTTTATTTTTATTTCTAATTTATATATATTTTTAATACTTTAGACAAATGTTCAAGAATGTTTCACCGAAAAGTGGAAAAAACAAAGACAATAACTGTAACTAAAGTCATATACGTGTGGAAGCTATTACGTTGAAGAATAAAGCGTGGAATTAGTTGGAGGCAGCACAAGGGACATTATTAGTCATAGGAAGCAGTTCAAAATGTTAACTGTTCAATGTGAAGTTGCCAACTTTATTACAGAGGCGCGAGTGAGACAGTGATTTTATTTTGTCTTTTTCTTAATTCTTTCTGGACAGTGGTTAATGCTAATGCTATCCACTTTCTACTTTCCTTACCCTTTCCTCTTTCTTTTCAGCTTCGTTTGTTAAACAACATCAAATTGTGGAAATTTAAAATGAGTAGAGTAGCTAGGAATGAGTATGGATATAGATTTTTTTAGTTTTAGCGTGAAGTGAAGTTTAAAGTGTATTTTTATTTAAATAAATTTAAATTTACTTAAATAAAAATGAACTTATTCAAACAAAAAATGCATTACAAATTTTGTAATTCACGCTAAAAATTGCCAAAAAAAAAATCCATTTCCGAATGCGTATTAGGATCTCAACCAAAAAAAACTCAAATTTACTTTTAAAATATTGTAATAAAATTGAATAAAATATATTGTTATATATTTTTATTTGATTTTAAGTAATATTTCATATTTGAATTTGTGTACGTCAAAACAGAAATATTTAAAAAAGCTAACTCATCGTATTATAGACATTTTGACTCAAATAAAATATTATTTTATAAAATATTACTTTTATGAAAAAAATAATTTGTGATTTATATTGAAAAAATAACTTGCCTCTCAAATATTTTTTTTCAAATAATTCACCTCTAACATTTTAAACTAATGAAACTTATAAAAAAAAACATTAATTACTGGGTAAATAAGGATGTTTTTTATAAATAATTTAATTAAATGTAGATTTAATAATTTTTTATTAATTGGTAATTTATTCATAAATTTGATGGCAAATCTTATTCAAATAATCTCTTACAAGTGTCCTCTAAATCTGACTTGACTCATTTAACGTAAATTATATCACTATCCCCTTCACATTACTTCACTTATGTTCATCTCTAGTAGTTGTCTTTAATGGACTAATCGTGACCCACGTGAAAAGATTATATCATAAATCTCATGCTATGTGATCGAAATCTTTTATATTTATAATCCAATCCAAGAGTTTTTCATGCAACGCACGAGTTTGTAACGTATAAAGAGCCACAATTATAAATTCGAATCCCATTCTATATTTTACCAGATCAAGGAAATGCGTGCAATTAAGCTAATTAATGTTAGACCACATGATCAAAATGCTAAAAAAAACGTATTATCGTTGGTATATCATTTTTTTTCTTTATCTACATCACATGTATCTTGTACATTTGATATACATAATTAATCATGCGCATTAGAATAATTATGTGGCAATTGATCTAATAATCTCGCTTTCTTTTTAACTTTTGATATGACAAGTAATTAGGGGTGACGTTATACGTACACACAATTTGTAAAAAAGAATAAGTGAATTTTCATATACAGAACGGATATTATTAAATTAAAATATTTTTTAAAACAAAAAAATACAGGCGCATTGCATTATTATTTTAAAATTTACTGAATTTTATAAATGAAAAATAAATTATAAAAAATGGAATTTACAAATTATTTGCTAAATGTAAAAATAAAGGTCACATAATATGGTAAAGAAATAAAATAATTCTTAAAAACCCTTTCATATTTAATTTATAGAGGTGATTTGTGCATTAATCATTGCTGTGTTCATGACAATGCGTTGATTAAGTTAAAATATGAGTACTGCAGCTTATTGTTTAACCCTATTTTTATTTGTCTAATTATCGTGATATATCACGATTAATTACCTACCCAATCAAGAACATATTAATTGTTGAAGGAAAATTAAAAATAACTATAATAAACAGTTTTAGTGGGAAATATATAAACGAGGGCTACTTCGCATTGGAAACAAATTAGGATTTAACTTAGCAAAAGATGGATCCCATACGTGGGCGCAATTTCATTATACAATGCATATAAAAATGGTCTTCAAATTCTTTTTTGGTACTTCTTAATGTTATATACTTTACAGTTATAATTCTTTTAATATTTTTAAAATAAAAAAGTATTAACATTTTTTTAGCTAATCAATTAACTCTATTATTTATTCATAGAAAATTAACAGTTAAAATTTTTCTACGTATAAATTCTCTTGTTTATCCATAATACTATAAATTTTACCATTTTTTATATTTCAATTCATAAATGTCTGGATCATCATGACCCGTTGTATTTGGTGCTTTTGACACGATTTTTTGTTTGCTTAATGTGTGGTAGAAAAAACAAAATAAAAGATATCATTCGTATGACTTGATCAAAGCCAAGAGAGCGAAGCAACTAATCAATGTGCATCCAACATAGACTAATATTTGGATATAAATTAAGTTAGTGAAGATTGTAAAAGACGTAAATGAAACGAGGTAACGGCCTAATAGAAAATAGCCAAAAAAATTTGAGATGTCTTAATTGGAATGCATGCTTACGATAAGCACAATAAAATAGCTGTGAAATCCGTGACCTCACCAACTAATTAATAAGAGTACTAAATACAAAATTCACGAACAAGGAAATGTGCATTTAATTAAGACAAAATAGAAACATGTTTACCAGAAGTATTAAATTAGTATGCATTGAACAAGAATAAGAAACCGTCCCCAAACAAAAACAAACAAACAGAAGTAACCAAAAAAAGGGTTAACTATATTCAACTAGATTTTTAGCCGGTTTGCACTTTCATGTCACATGTATTCACTTTTACTATGTTTTCCTTTTAAATGATATGGGAGGAGTAGAACACTCTATACACTTTCTTACTATATTTTTCACCAGTCTTCTTGGTTAATCTTGTAGTCTATTAACCATCTCATTTCATGTATCGTGGAAAAAAAAAACACTATAACTATAGCTATGATAAGTAAACAGAACAAAAAATATATTCTTAGTTTAAATGAGTTTTAATTTTTTATTAAAATTGTAATGCTTGTAATTAGTTTTTAAAATAAATTTTATTAAAATCTAGTTCAAAAAAATTAAATAAGTACTTTTTTTGTCATTAACATTTATATATTTAGCGTTGAATTAACGCTTGCGCAAGATGGGAACACGATGTACTTTCATCGTCACATCTCTGTCTCCCTCTTATCCATCACCAATTTCCATCTTAGGGTTTTTTTTTTCTTTCCCAAACTCATATTTCAATGTGGAAGTGAAGTCATGATTTTGTTTTTTCTTTGACTTAGATCATTAAAAGTGAAATTAAGAAAACAAATTTGTTAATTTTTAAAAAATTAAAAGTAAGAGAAAAGAGGCTACGAGGATTAATTGATGGATATAATTTTTTTAAAAATTTAATTGTGTAGTGATTATGACAAAAATATATTGAGTACTTAATTTATAAAAATACTTCATTAAAATTTTATTATCTAATTCAACAATTAATATATAAAAGATAAAAGCAAAGATTAACTTTTTATCAGCTTAATTTATTAGAAGTTAAATCTTTAAAAAGTTTCAAGGACTAGTTTTAAACAACATCTTTTATACAAACTAAAAAAAAATTCAATTTTTATTTTAAAATATTATATACTAATCAGACTAAAAATTTATTATGCTCTAAATTAAAATTCTTTTAACCAAACCACTACTTAATATATGAAGATTAATTATGATTAAAATTTTGCTTATTTAATTTATTAAAAACTAAATCCTACAAAAAAAAAAATTCTAAACATAACAAGTGTTATACCGATCAAAAGTTTGTCTTCTAATAAAAGTTTGTCTTCTAATAACTTTAAAAGAAAGAGGCTAATTCTTTAATTTCAACCTGACTCCAAGAGGTAAAGATGAACTTTTATTATAATTTTTTTTACCACAATTTTTTTATATTGATTTTTTTATCACATCATCTATCATATTGTTTATTTATATTTTATCTCTCTTTTTCATATACCCATTTCTTATTCCAAAATGCCATTTTTTCCAGTTCTAAACCAAATGGAGAAGAGTATTCACCAAACTATTAATGTTTATTTGAAAATAACATGTATTACACCAAACTATTAATGTTTGTTTGAAAATAACATGTATTATTGTTGAAAAGACAAGGTCATAAGCTCAGCTTTATTTCTGACCTCCATGACTATTGACTTTATCATTTAAGAATTTACTTTGGATCCTCTTCTCCAGCTTTTGAGTGCAGTCAACGGGTAACAAAAATTTCAACCGTCAATATAATTTTCAAAACAACTAGCGAAGAAAGATCACGTAATACAGTTTAGATTGTGTGTGTGATTGATAATAAATTATTTTTAAAATCAGTTAATAAAGTTATTTACGGAAAAAAAATATAAATAACTTTTAAAAGTGAACTAATTGAAAGTTACTCAAATTAAGATTTAGGTTATGAGTAGTTACCTTCTGATATATTTATTTTCTATTGTATTCTCATGTCTTTAAATATTTTACATTTATATAAAATAATATTACTAATTTTTTATTATTTAACATATGTTAACTAGTTATACGTCTATTTTTTAAATTAAATAATTCTGATTTTATCGAGTATAGGATATAAACTTTTGGCTAACATATCAATGATAAAGTATAACTTATAAACTTTAAGTTAATTTTATCCAATAAAGCCTTTAAGTATTAAAGATAAAATATCATAGTCGCGGAAGAAGATCCGAATTTTTAATAATTAAATCTTACTAAAATATACGTGAATAATATTTTTAAAAGTTGAGATTATGGTATATTTTAATTAAATTAATAATAATGGTATATTATTTACACGATTCCAATTCTCTTCCATCAAATAGTAATTGCAGTATTCCAATTCTAATTTGGTTCTATTCGAATTTGGAGTGGACTTTTGTCACCTACTTTTTTTAAAAAATTGTTAGTATGTTAAATCATTAAAAAAAATTTAATAAATTTCAGGTTAACTTATTAAAATATTCATTTTAAAAACTATTAAAAATACATTAACATTCATTTTTTTAGAAAGAGTTTGGTAAACTATACCATCGAGGCGTAACAGTTAAAAAATTATAGGATTATTCTTCCAACAAATTTGAAAATGTTACTAATATGTTTCTATTAAAAAAGAATGATATTGTCTTTCTTGTGTGATATGTCCCGTCTTGTGAGATGGTGGGACAAAGAAATAAATTAAAAAAATTGTGATAAATAATATGATAGAAAAATAAAATATGAATAATATTAAAAATAAAAAATCCAAAAAAATAAATAGGAGTACATTAACCAACCTCATGCATATAGGACAGTGAGAATTAAGTGATGTAAAAGATGTTAATTTATACTTGTACATAGTTGCTTTCCACGAGAGATCAAGTGGCTTAGAGCACCTCCAAACGAAAGTTGCTATTGAAAAACAATTTGTTTAACAACTTAAATAGCAGTTGAGAATTAATAGAGAGCAAGTCTCGATGAACAAGTCAGAGCAACGGGTACTATAAAAAACTGGTGTTGAGATTTTATTTTTAATGGGTTCCAAACTAGTTTCCTCGGATTCAAGTATATTAATTTTTCCTTCTCATGAAAAAAAAAAGTGAATAAAAATTATGTAACATTAGAAAAAAATGTAATAAAAATATATTATAAGAATCGTTTTAACGACTTGTTAGAGTTGTTTTAATCGGAGATGTCATTTGAAACATAAATTCAGCAAGCATTTATGAAGTCCTGCACAAGTTTTTTGGGTAGAAGCTAGATAAGTGCGTCCCTATTACTGTTATGTAGCCGAAGCTCACAGGAATTAAATTTTGGTAGGCTACCAAAGGAAGATAATTTGGAACCACTTTCTTTTCGGGTTGGCAACTCGCGAGTCATGATTAAGCAACGAAAAGTTAGCCACATACTCCCTCATATATATTTTAAATATGTTTTTTATTACTAATTAAAAATTATAAAAAAACATGAATCTTATTACGTTGGAAAGAGCGTGATAAGTAATACATTTCTTGCAACAGCTCTTATTAAGCTAATTATGGGGTGGTAAAACTTAGTTTTGATGAATGTTTTGGCATCTTCGTGGAACGTTGGAACAGGTGTGGAAAGCAACAGATGAAAAAGAACGAGGAACGCTTTATGCATAGTCCTGACTCCTACCGCGTATCCTCTTGACAATAATCATACACTGCGCTCGCTGCAGGTCCCATCAAGGGACATAGTCAACCATTGTTTGAGTCAAACACTAGTCTATATAAACCCCGCTCTGGCTTTGCTTCTTCTCATACCCATAAACCTCAACAAACACACCATTACCACACTGTAAAGCAATAAAATGCCAAGAAAAGGAATGAGAAGCATTTTCTTCAAACCACCACTTCCTTCCCCGTCATCAGTCCCACCTCCCTCTCCTCTCCGCACCTTCTCAGACTCCTTAATGCAAGAAAACATAGAAACAGCGGAGTCACTCATAACAAAATGGGACTATTCCAACGCCAATTCCCAATCCAAAATCACTACGTCTCTTTTCAGTGGCACGCGCCACGAAGCCGAACAGTACCTAAATGCCGTTAAGGGACTACAATCCGCTATGCAGTACCTCGTCGCACAGGATTCCACCTCCACTTCCCTCGTGCGACCTCAGTTCTTGATGCAACTCGCAATGAACACGCTCGAGAAAGAGTTCTACCAGATTTTATCTTCTAACAGGGAACACTTGGATCCCGAAACCGTCTCCGCCCGTTCCTCCGTCGATCACAGAAGCAGCGTCTCCGATTGCGACGACGAAATATCCGAAAATGAGTTTCGCGTCTCCGAGACCGAGAGGGTTTCCATGCTCGCCATGGCCGATTTGAAGGCCATCGCCGAATGTATGATTTCGTCTGGATACGGCAAAGAGTGCGTCAAGGTTTACAACGTTATGAGAAAATCAATCGTCGATGAGGCACTTTACCATCTCGGAGTGGAACGGTTGAGTTTCTCTCAGGTTCAAAAAATGGATTGGGAAGTGCTCGAGTTCAAGATCAAGAGTTGGTTAAACGCCGTTAAAGTCGCCGTTGGAACTCTGTTTCACGGCGAGAGGATCCTCTGCGATCACGTCTTCGCTGCCGATTCAGGGAAGAGAATCGCCGAATCCTGTTTCACCGAAATTACGAAAGACGGTGCCGCGTCGCTGTTTGGATTCCCGGAAATGGTGGCAAAGTGCAAGAAAACGCCGGAAAAAATGTTCAGGACTTTGGATTTGTACGAAGCCATCTCAGACCACTGGCCTCAAATCCAACATATCTTCTCCTTCGAATCAACTTCGAATATTCGCTTGCAGGCCGTTACATCAATGGCCAAACTCGGCGAGGCCGTTAGAACGATGCTAACGGATTTCGAAACCGCGATTCAGAAGGATTCCTCCAAGAAACCGGTACCCGGCGGTGGGGTTCACCCTCTCACGCGCTATGTGATGAACTACCTCACGTTCCTCGCCGATTACAGTGGCGTGCTGGTCGATATAATCGCCGATTTGCCGCAATCACCGATGCCGGAATCTTACTATCGCAGCCCGATGCGTGAGGAAAACACGTCGGCTTCGGAGTTATCGGAGCGAATCGCGTGGCTCATACTCGTCGTGCTTTGCAAGCTCGACGGCAAAGCGGAGCTGTACAAGGACGTGGCGCTCTCTTACCTGTTTCTCGCGAATAACATGCAATACGTTGTCGAAAAGGTTCGCAAATCCAACCTAGGATTCCTTCTCGGCGAGGATTGGTTGGAGAAGCACGAATTGAAGGTTGGAGAGTACGCGTCCAAGTATGAGCGCGTAGGGTGGAGCGCGGTGTTTTCATCGTTGCCGGAAAATCCCGCGGCGGAGAAAGCCAGGGCCTGCTTCTTGAGGTTCAAGGCTGCGTTTCAAGAAGCGTGTAAAAAACAAAGCTCGTGGATCGTATCCGACCCGAAACTGCGTGACGAAATCAAAGCGTCGATAGCTTCGAAGTTGGCGACCAAGTACAGTGAATTCTACGAGAAGAACCGGGTCGGGTCGGAGTCTGTCATTAGAGTTTTACCCGATGAAATTGAAAAATACTTGTCTGACATTTTGTATGGGAACGGCATTGGAGATTCGGGTAGCGTCTAGTCGACGACGTCGTCTTCTCGTCACTCCAGTCGACGGTGAAGTCGGAGATGTCGCCGATCATTGATGACGTCACCAGTCCATTATATTTTTGAAAAAAAATTAGATTAAATTAAGGGGCAAGAAAATGTCCTGAGAGGCTAGAAATGGAAAACACGACAAGATAGAGTATTCTTACGTGTTTACTGTATATCTTTGATCTTTCAACTTGCTTACTGTATATGATTTTTATAATTTTTTAAAACTACAATTTATTTATTTTAAACTTCTAGGTTCTCTTTTTTATTTGTTTTTCATTCCAGCGGAAGAAGGGAAAATTGAAGGAAGAAGTAAATTTTTCATTAAGATACGCTGAACTCGATCCGGGTTTTACAGCTCATTCACAGTAACAATCCTTTTAAAACGGTGTAAATTTTTGTATTGAAAGCATATATAAATGATGCATTAATAATTGATATAGGTATTACGGTAAGAAAATTATACTTACCAAAATGATAAAATTTAAATTCTTAAATAGAGTGCTATTGTATCCATTTTTATTAAGTAAAATATTCTATCTGTTTGTAAAATGCGTTGATATTTTTTTTTGTTCAAAATTGTGAAATTTGAACCTACACCTAAATCTAGACGAACCCCCTAGCTGTAGCACTTGACTTATACGGGGATTCAAAGGTTAGGTTCATATTCACCAATGGGCTAGCTATAGCTAGTAGATTGATGAAACATGAACATTTTCACTTTTAGATGGAGCACAGCTGTTGCTGCCTTTAAGTTCCTTTCTCTTCCTTTCACTGCTCAGTTGTTTTTATTGTTAAAATTAATTGTGAAAACATAAAATTAAAATAAAAAGAACATTTCATCAAACTAAACAAGTCCCAAAATTTTTCTTCAATTAGATAATTAATTAAAGAAGAAAAATATTAATTCCATTTAATATAAAAAAAACTAGTAAAATATCCGTCACAATATAAAAAATTGTGGACTAAATGAGTACATGAAAATTGGACTTTGATCCGACAAGTTTACCAAATGAGCAGGCCCAGTTTTCTGTAGTACAACTCATAGAGAGCCATACATGGACCCTTGTTAGAGGAGATTTTTTCTCTCTTTTGCATGAAGTTTCGGTTTTTAAACAGAGTGCCCAATTCTTGACCCAAAAAAATTAGTGCTCAATTATTGGGCTAATGAGTCAACCATTTATTTGGACAATGCCCAGTCCATGTCTTAATTATGCCCAGTCCAATTCTTTAAACATATTTTGAGTAATTATTATCATAGTCGATTTATTATAACAATGTCGGATCAAATTGAATGGTATGTAATACACTTAAATTATATAATTTATCGAGCTAGACATGTCAAAATAAAAGCTAAATTTATTCATAAAAAAAAAGGGAGCAAATATTCTTGCCGTACGATTGTATGTAGTGTTGTATATTATGTGTTTCTTCGAGTATGATCCAAATTCCAATGATTATTTTCGTTACTACTCTTCTAGTTATATCCATTTCTAAACTTCGCTTGACATTATAATATTGAAATATTAGTTTCTTGAAAGTTAACTACAAAAATAATCGTTAATTGAGTGTGATATAAGGTAACGAAGGGAATATCCCAAAGTCCCTGAACTATAAGACCCCCCACCCCACACCTATGCACATACGTTGTCCCATCAGAGCTATTGCCAGTTCTGTGAAACCAGTTAATGCAATTCACGGATCCCTACCATGCTGGTAACGTTGCTTTCTAATTAAAAGCCAAAACTGTCTTCTTTTTGTTCACAATTCACATCTCCTTCATGCCACAGGTCACAGCTGTCACATTATATTAATACCATTTAGCAATACTTATTAAATAATTATTGGCGTACGTTACTATACAGATCAGAGACAAGCGTATATATGTACTTCTCCCTCTTTTGATCAAATTTTGAAATAGGATTCAAGTGAACTGTCAATTCAATTTAAATTTTAAGTGTTATTGTGTATACTTTATATATACAGCTACTAATTATTAATTGCTGATGTACATAGGCTAATGTTCATCCATCATGACACTAATAACCTAGCATATGATCGGGTGTTAAATTGAAATTTTTTACAAACGTGTGTGTATTAAAATTGAATTTAAGATAATATGTTTAAGACATTTGAACTTATTTCACTCAGATTATGACTTGTTCGTGTAAAGTATTCAGATAAAATAATGTGTGTATCATAGTTTTAAAAAAAATGAAATCTTGGGATGAATTTATATCTCTTAGAGTTTTGTTAACAAAATTATAAAGAAGCATATTAATGTCAACAATATATTTTTTTAAAAATACTTTGTCACTTTTAATAATTCAATTAATTAAATTATTTCAATGAATTTACGTTCCGGTCTCCAATCCTATGAATAGCCCCCGCATACCTAAACTATGTAATAAAAAAGTATTTAAAGTGCCCTATTTTTATTCTTTTTATTATATACCCAATCATGAATTCCAGGAACTGAAAGAGCGTGAAAAAAAGACGAGAATTAGTTGAGAACTATTAAGATTTTGATCGTGGGTTCTATTGAAGATAGGAGAATTGTGAACTTTTAAGTTTATTTATTTCAAATGTTTTAGATAATTTAGGGTCACAATTTATTTATTTATATATTTTTTATTTATTATTAACCTACCAATTAGAACTTAATTATCTTAATCTTTCAAGTTCAACTACGTTAAATTAAATGAAACTTACCAACTTTAACTTAACTGTAATTTGCATTTTTTATAAACTTGAACTTGTACTATATGTTTGTGCTTTTTTTTATTTTTTTTAAATGTTAAAAGTTTATTTATTTTTACTTTACCTTTTCTTTAAAAAAGATTTGAGCCTTTTATTATAATTTTTGTGTGTCCGACTTTACTACATCATTTAAATTTTGAACGTTAGATTGATACAAAATTAAAGGAGATAGAGTATGTAGTATAAGTTTGAGTAACATATTTATTTAAAATAAAAAAGTTAAACCTGTAACAATTTTAAAAATTAATAAAAAAAACACAAGCCTATGCAACAACAAAATCTAAAATAACATTCTAAACTTAAAATAATAAGTTCAAGCTACGAGAAAAAATTGTTTTAAAAAAGAAATACAAATTTCAGCTGAGTCAAAATTAGTTAAAATTGAGAAGGAGAGTTAAAATAATAAAAATTACACATTAATAAACTAATAACAAATTAAAAAGTATATAAATAAGATTATTATAATTTTAAATTATTTAAAGTTATATTCAATAAAACGAGCTGATAGTTGTAAATTTGTAATTCTAATTGTGAAATTTGTTGAAAGCTTTAGACTTGTAACTAAAAACTTATAGTTGTATAAGTAACTTATATAATTAAATTATTCGATAAATTATTTATGTAATTAATTAATTTATATTAAATGACTTAAAAAGATATATAATATTATATTTATATAAAATTAAAATTAAATATAATTTATTTTAATATATCTTACTAATAAAATATATTATTAATTTTAATAATAACTTAAATTTACTTTTAAAATTATTAATTTTAACATATTATATCAATAAAAATTACATAAATTAATTTAAATAATTTATTTTTAATTTTTAAAGTATTATTTATCTAATTAATTTATTTTTGTATAAAAAAATATATTATTAATTATTAATAATAAAAAAGAAAACAATTATCGTAAAAATGAAAAGAACAAAATAATAACAAAGTTAACATATTAAATTTTAATTGTATGAATGATAAGTTATTTTTTAAAAAAATAAAAAATAAAAAATTGATAATTAACTTTTAAAAATTAATTTTTTAAATTTACAAACTTCTTTCGTATTTATTAATTAGTTCTTCTGACTTATTGAAAGTTAATAAATTACAAACTCGTAAATAAACTACAGTTTATATTTATCAAACATAGCATAAAATATTTTAATAAACATGTCATTTAAACTTATAATTTATACTCTTCTTTGATCGTGAAATGGGTTCACACTCAAAATTGTAAGGAAAACTTCTACAAACTTCCATGTAATATTTCGACCATAGCATTAAAAAGCATCATTGATCTGTACGTGCTTCATGGCTTGCCCTAAGTCAACGGCAGAACTTCAATAACAATTTTGGAAGGGCGAAAAATGAAATTCAATGCATAAATTAATTTTTTTAAATCAACTGAAAATCATTTTTGTGGATTATAAACTAACCACTGTACAGAACATTCTAAATACGCAAAAACATAACCACAATTGACAGTAAATTAAATTATGAAATTTCCCTACCTAAAACTTGCCAGTTAACAATATCTACGAAAAATTATTGTCTCTCAAAAGCTGCTTCACAATATAGTACTAAGTATAAATGAGATAGCTTGTGTTACTTGTGTCAGTGTATTTGCACAACGAAAACCTTGCAATTAATGTTTAGTCAAGCAAAAAAAGAATCACCAAACTAAGTAAACTAGAAATAATGTACTCCATATATATATTGATCTCTAAAAGTGTATTTTTCTTTATTTTTTATCTCTAAAGTTTATTTTTATCATTTAATTTTAAATATATACTATTATTCATATGTTTTTTCTTTCCTCATAAAAATATAAATAAAATAAAAATAATTTATTTAAGAACTAAATTGTATACAAACAAATACTTTTCATATCTATTAATTTCACACAAAAAAATGTAAAAAAAGTTAATACATTTGATGAGAAAATTGTAAAAAGTGATTATTGAAAGATAAAGATAAATAAAGTATTATTTTAAGATAAATTATATATATAATAATATAATATAAATTCGAAATTTAATTACACCAATGTCAAATTTAGACATTTATACTACTTAATAATTTTTTGTTAAATAGAAAATTAATCAATTTAACTGTTAAATTATTTTATATTATTTTTATTAATATGTATATTTAAAATTTATATAATTTAAATGTTTATAAGTATATTATTCAAAATTTAATATATTTATATTTTAAAAGCATATTAGTTATTAAAATAAAATAATACGATGAAGTATTTATTAATTTTATTTTTTTATGAAATCTTATGAAGTTGATTTTTTAAAATTTAAAATCAATCATTAGATTAGTTAATTTTTAATTTTATAAAAGGTTGTTAGATAATGTAGGTATTAAATTTAACACATTAACATATGTTTTAACTCGCGGGTACATATATGTTTGAAGTTTAATAAAAATAACAGAGAAATGAGAATGTAATACCAAAAAGAGAGGCACAGTTTATAGATGCCTGCCAGAGACAAGCCCGAAAATATAATAGGACGAGGGTTTGCACATAACAGTTTGTTCACTTTGTCAGCCAAAAGGAAAGGCAATGTAGTAGTTAGCATTGATTACTTTCACGTACAAACGAAACTCTTCACCAAAATGAGGAGGTACAGAAAGAAACATGTATCGGAATTGGATCCGTAGCTTCATGAAAGAAAGCTTTCACTATCACTGATAAAAGGAATAATGGGGTTTATTAGTCTCCATTTTCTGAGGAAACGTAATGTCAAATAACTACTAATTGA